CAGAGCTGGTGGCCTGCAGAGCTATGATCAGGGATGAGCCTCCCAGAGGGCTCCCTTCTCCTTCCCCCTGCCCTGACTCTGTGCCTGCAGAGGGAAGCAGCACCTTGCCCCAAATAACTGCTGACTTGAAGGCACCTTTTCTGGCTGAGTCAGGGTACACTAAGGGCCAAAGTGGCCCCTGACTACCAGAGTTGGAGGAAGTAGAGCTGTTCCCCTCTCTGGAGGGGAAAGGCCAGGCCTCAGAAGGGAAGCTGGAGCCCTGACTGAAGCAATCCCACGCCGGCTGAACCGAACCGTTCTCGCCTCCCTGGACCCAGGCTCCAGGACCCGGGGGGGGGGGGGGGGGGGGGGGAGGGGGCGGGCCTGAAGGACAAGGTGCGGGCATCCAAAGCCTGCTTCCCAGCTCCACCTTTGCCAGGCAGTCACCAAGGATCTGGCACTGAGCTGGGCCCCACCGGGCCACCCCAAGGAGAATCACTTACTTATTCATTCAACCATCACTTCCTAAGAGCCTGCACAGAGCCACTCCATATGCCACAAAGCAGCCACGAAGAGGAAAGTACTCTGTGTAGACAATGCGGGGTGGGGGCGGGTATAGGGAAAGGAAGGGTTTGGAGAAAACTCTGCCATCCATCTTCAGATCTATTTACCCTCAGAAAGCTTAGAGTCACCATGGTGGGGGGAAACATGTGCTGGGCAAGGCATTGCTTCTTTTGGGCCTCACGCCATGCTATGAGGTCATCACCATCACCCAATCCACAGATTTGGAAACTGAGGCGCAGAAAGGGTCACAAAGTTAGCAAGGGGCAGAGCCAGGTCTAGCTCCCAAGTCCAGCTTTTTGCCACCATGCTCCGCCATCTCCCTAATCTGCAGACAGGCAGGTAAGGCTGCTTCAGGCGGGGGAGCGAGGGAGGTGGGTCCAACTCTCGCATGTGCGCGAGGAGTCTCCCAGTTCCACTCTGTGCTGTGACTGTGTGCGTGTGCGCGTGCACATGTGCGTGTGCTCACATGTGCCCTACTTTACAAACACACACCCCAGGCTCCAGGACTTCCTAAAAGTCGAATTAAAGAACGGGCCACTAGCGCAGCAGAGAGAGAAGGAAGCCCAGAGATGAGAAAGAACTTATCCGAGGTCACACAGCCAGTACGCCAAGGGGCTGGAACTGAATCCAAGAACCAGAGTCCGGGCCTCTTCCTTCTCCTCAGCTGCTTCTCTGCGTCAGCACAGAGTGAATCAGCTGCTGACAGCCCATAGCGTAGGGGGAACCCCTGGGGTGAGTCAGGAACCCGCCACCCCCCCACCCCCCACCCCCACCCGGACACACATACCAGCTGGGCCTGTTACGGAGGCCCTGAGCCCGCAGTTGGCCTGCTCATGAGCAGGCAGCATGGGGACGAGGGGAGGAGGGGAACAAGACACAGCACACTGCAGGCCGTGTTTACCTCTGGGCTTCCCTCTTGCCTCCTCAGATCCAGGCTTAGAGCAGGGGAAGCTGGTGGGCAGGGCCGTTCCTGCTGAGATTAAACAGGCCCCCAGCCCTGGCCCCATCCTGTCCCAAACCCCCCCCTTCCCTCCCTCCCACCTTTCACAGAGCCAACTCCTGACTGTTTGATGCTCTTGATTAAGTCATAACCGCCCCCTCTGAGCATCCCATGGGGGGGAGGAAGTGGGTCTAACGGTTTGGAGCAAGGGGTCAAGGCCAAGCCCAAAACAGGGGGTGCCGGCTGTCCCCAGAGGCTCCAAACCCAAAAGACGGTTCAGGGCTTGGGTCTGGTCCTCAGGGGGAGGGGGAGCAGCTTTCAGGAAGTCTGAAGCTTCGAGAGAAGGGACTGGCCCATGTTGCAGAAACTTCACAAGAGCCAACCAAAATTCACCCCCCCCCCACAGGAAACTTGTGTCCCACTGCTAATCTCTCACCCCAGCCCTCCCTGGGCTGCAACTAGGAGGGAGAGGGCCTCCGCACTTCTCCTCCACCATGCTCTCACATCCACCGCTGAGGGGTGCAAGCTCTGCCTGGCCCAGATGCCTCGTGGCAAGCATAGCCCCCTCCCCCCCCCCGGCCCCGGGCAGCTCCCTCCCTGTCACTCGGTAGCATGTTATCACCCTCCCCAGCACCGCTGAGCTCCTACTATGCACCAGGGTCTAGGCTCAATGGGGAAACAAAGCCAAACAGGACATACATAGGGACCCTTTCTGCTCTCCCCACGTCACCCTGGCTCCCCTCCCACCCTTTTGACGGAGCCCCTTCCTCCACTCCCAGCTCCTTCCCCATCACCACAGCCATCAGATCATTCTCTCTTGACTAGTGGGGTCCCTCACCCCAGGACATCAAGCAATTGCCTTTCCTAAAGAGCCCCTCTGATTATGTCACTCCCTGGCTCAAAAGCCTTCAGTGTCTCTCACCTTCTACAAATCAGATCCAAACATTTCACCTTGGCATTGAAGGCCTTCCATGAGTTGACCCAGCCTACCATTCTCCCTACACATCCCTGCGTGATTCCAATTCTTCAGCCAGACTGACCAGCCTAGCAATTTCTTAAAAATTCCCTGAACGCGCTGACCTCCTGGACTTTGCCAAGGTATTTTCCTCTGCCCAAAACTTCCATTGTAGCTGCTGAAACCCTTCCAATCCTTAAGACCCACCCAAAACCCCACCTCCTCCATGAAATTTCCCAGCAATACTTTCTTCATTTATCTCCTATCAGTCACTGGTATCCCTTCCCAGACGGTAAACAACTAAGGATGGGGGCAGTGTGTCATTCTTCGTCATTTGTCATGTGAGCTGGAGGGGTGGTGGGGAAGATGTCCCAGTATTTGCTTACTAAGTCCTGTTTGAGATGAACATCTCCTCCTGCCATGAGACCCACCTACTGACCCTCTTCCTCCCCCCCCTACCCCACACTCTAACCTTATGCCATTCACATGCTTGGACAGGGAGGTCTGTGGCCCCAAGTTGATCCAAACCCAGCCAGGACTTGGGAGCCCAGGCAGAAAGTGTTGCTCAAGTGTCAGCAACTCCAGGAAGCCCCCAGCCCTCTGCCCTGGTTTCTCCAATGTCTCCCTACTTCTAAGCACTTTCCTCTCCCATAGACACATGCACTGTCTCCTCCACACAGTGCAGCCTTCAATCAGACTATGTCCCATACTACTTTCTAGCAGGTTCCAAAGTGTAGGGCTCATCTCCCAAGGACATTCAGGGAGTCGACCTGAAGCACCCCCAGGCTCCTTCGGCAGCCAGCCTTGATCAAACAGGTAATGGGGTGCCTGGGTGGCTCAGTCGGTTAAGCATCTGACACTTTGATTTCAGCTCGGGTCATGATCTTGAGGATTGTGAGTTGAGCCTTGCATCAGGGTCAGGGTCAGGCTCCGCCTAACAGTACGTGCAGAGCCTGGTTGGGATTCTCCCTCTCTGCCCCTCTCCTGCTCGCTGTCTCTCAAAATGAATAAACTTTTAAAAACATCTTTAAAAAAACAACAACAGGTAACACACTAACCCTCACCCTCACCCCAGGCCAAGTGTGCAATGGAAAAGCTGGATTCTACACACTAGAGTGAGACAAACTCATGAAATCTCATCTGGCCCCAAGTCCTGGGTGTGAGTTATCTTCCCCAGCAGGAGGATGTTGGGGGTGGGAAAGCCCTCACTGTCAGCAACTCAAAATGAGGGCAGAGCCCAGGTCTGGCTCGGTCACCTCTGTATCTCCCAGCTCCATGTAATATATAGTAGGTGTTCAGTAAACATTTTGGGGTGCATTGAATTAAACAACCACCAACCTCAAGCACTGTTACAGAAAACTCTTTGGTCCAGAGGACACACTCCCCAAACCTGAAATGGACAAAGCGGTGCAGATGGCAGGTGGCGATTTCTGGCTCTCACAAGGTCAGCAGGGGCTGCAGCCAGGATCCGGCCCTCCAAAAACAGGCTCATTCCTAGGCGGGAAGCCAGCCCATCACCTGCCCATCTGCATCAGGGCAGCTGTCATATAGTGAGGCCACACCGGGTGCCTGGTGCCATGCTAAACACTGTGTACACATTATTCTATGTAGCCTTTGCCGCTGCCTGTGGCTACTGTCATTGCTTGCAGTTTACAGATGAAGAAACTGAAGCTTGGAGGAGAGGGGATCCTTGTCAGTTTGATCCCAGAGCCGAAGATCTTGACCACTGACCACTACCAGGGCCCTGGCACAGACCACCCACTACCACCAGGAACAGAAAGCCCCAGCCCAAGAACTAACCCTGACCATGTGGCAAGGGCCCTGGGCTCGACTGTGGGCCCAAAGTGTGGTGGGGTTTTCCCTTCTTTTCCCCTCTCACCCCGTTGAGAACGTGTCCCTGGTTTCCAAGCAGGGCCTTCCAGGCCAGCTCACCTGGAAATGCCCCAGGAAGGCAACAGAAGCCCCGCTGAGGTTCTGGTCTGAAGCTTCCTGGGATCTGTGTTGGAGGGAAGCGGAGACTGACATTTCCCCCATGTAGGCTGCTTCCCAGGGCTTGTGGGTTCAAGGGCCGAGCGAAGAACCCGTGTGATCTTTAAAAGTAATTCGCTTAAGGCTCCTGGAGAGTTCACTTGGCTCAGGGCTACTCGGTAGGGAAAGTGCAGTTGGCCAACGTGCTGTGAATACCCTCCCTGACCTAGGGACTGCGGTTCGCTCTCACCTGCCAGCCCTCACCTTCCAGGGTTTTGTGAGCAATGGCAACCGGAGCAGGAAGTTCAACAGGAGCACCTGGTTCAACCTTCTCCGTTTACGGAACCGAGAAGTCCGGACCGGGGTGGGGGGTGGGGGGTGGGTTGAGCGCGGGGCCACCCTGCGGGTACGTGGCGGAGCCTGAGAACTGGGGGTCCGGGCTCGAGGGACTTACGCTCCTTTTCACCCAACAGCTGCCTCCTTAGCCCCGTCTGTCACTCGTGCCGAGAGAGCTGCCCGAGCGGCTCTGAAGTAAGGATAAAAACGAACTTTGCTACTGTTCGTCTGGCCGGCCTCCCCCCTGCCCCTTCTCACCTGCTGGCTTTGCTTTCCGCTGGGCGCTGCAAGCCGCAAATCCGTCGCTGTCCGACTGCGCAGCCCTGGGCTCAGTCGCTCTGCAGTCCCCCTCCCCGAGGCCGTCGGGGAAACACTGCTGCTGGGCCAGGCCCCGCCCCCTGGAGGACACGCCCCGGGCCCGCCCCCTGCCCTGCTCCGGGGCCCTGCGGGAATGGAGTCTTCCTCCGGCCAGATCCGGCTCCGCCCACCGGGCCTCGGGGGAAGACGGCCAGCCCCGCCCCGCGGCGGGGTGGGCCCGCCCCTTGCCCCGCCCCTTGCCCCGCCCCTCACCGTTATGGCCTCCCTAATTCAGCCTTGTAGCTCCGCCCCCGGGCCCGCCTCCTCGACCCTGTCGTCTGCGCCCCTTCTGTACCCTGGCCCTGCCGGAGGAAGCCTACCTCCCCTCGCTGGGCCGGCGCTGGAGCCCGGCTGGTGGGAAGCCCCAACACAGCGGTGCCTAACGGTCACCGCCCCCCGCCCCACCTAGTCGGCCTTCCTCAGCCGTCCCAGCCTCCCCCCAGACCCTCCCGCCACCCTGCCTCGGTCACGATCTCCTCCTACCCCCCCAGCCCCCTAGGGTGAGGCACCCCATCCCCAGGCACGCCCTTCCCCGCCTCAGCGCCTCCCTAATCCCGTTCCGCCCTGCCAACCCCAACCTGGGGCGGGCCGGCCTCGGGCCCCCAAGCTGGCATTCCAGGGCGGGGGCATCCGGGTGCGACCGGGTGCGTGGGAGCGGTTTGCGTTCCAAGTCCGAGCCTTTATCAGAGGGCGGCCTGGGCCCAGGCACTTTTTGAAAATACTAACAACTACTACGGACTGGACTCTCGCCAGGGGCCAGGCTCTATGCCAAGGCCTGTTAAAAGGACTGGCCCTTAAGTTCTCACAACCCTATGCGATGGTATTCTTTGTTGTGCCCATTTTACTGGTCAGTGACCTGAGGCTTAGAGAAGGGAAGTCGTGGCCTCTGAGTCTCACGCTGGAGGTGAGCAGGATCCGGCTGCAAGCCCTGAATCACAAGTTCAATACTGCCCCAGCTTGCCTGGACTGGCCCCTGGAGAAGTGGCCTGGGTCAGCCAGCTGCCCGTGCTGTGCTCAGCAAGCTGCCTGAGGTGAGGGAGGAGGCAGCCGGTAGCAGGAGGGGCCCCCCTGGCCTGAGCCCCAGAAGCTGGTTTTCTCTCTTAAGAAGTGACTCAGAATTAAGATGGGCTGCAAAGATCTCCAGATGATCATGGTGCCCTGATCTGCACGCAGGCCAGCCCTCTGCATTCCCAGACCCCAGGGACCAGCCTAGGGCAGGTTTCCTACTTATGACCAGGACCATTCACCTTGCAGAAGACAAAGCTCTTTAAGTCCCATTATCTCATTGGCATCTCACAAAGACGCCATTGTGGGGAGGGTATGACTATGCTGGTTTTGCTTGGGCGGAGTTAGGGTGGGGAGCTGGATCCCAGCCCAGCACAGCGGTTCCCAAAGCGTGGTGTGGTGGGAACACCTAGGCACTAGCAGTGGCAACAGCAGCGGTGTCTGGAAATTGGTTAGCCATGTGGGTTTTGGAGCACCGCCCCAAACCTACTGAAAAGGAGCCTGGCCTGTTTCAACAAGGCCTCCAGGGGATTCTGAATCCCTGACGGGCATAACGGTGAAGAAATTAGGGTGGTCTGAGAACCACAAAAACCTGGGAACATCCTGGGAGCCTTGTGACCCAAGGCCAGGCAAGGTCCCGAACTTCTCTGGGAGAAAACACGTACCAGAGGAATAATAAGAATAATATGACCAATCTTGAGGGTGGCTATTGGGGATTAAATGTGCTGCTGTTCACGAAATGTCTGCCCACTCGTGGACACTGTGCGTGCTCAATAAATGTCCTCTTTCCTGTAAAAAAGCCTCCTTTGTAGAATCTCCACACCAAGTCAAGGGAGTGGGGCTGGGGAACCTTTAAGGCCGGCAATGTCCCCATTCTGTTGTCCTTCTCACAGAAGGACACCATCATTCCTGCAAGGGGTCAACAGCTGAAAGAGTTCACAGATGATGTCGATGGTGCTGGTCCAGGGGTCACCTTTACGGAACCCCTGTGCTGTTCTATCTTAGACCAGGTTCTCAGCCAACCCTTGAAAATGGGCGTAACCCCCCCCCCTCTTCAACCCTGCTTCATGTCCCCGCCCCTCAAGCTGGTGGTGTTTGATGGTGATTGGCAGTGGGCTAAACAGCTGGACCACATCAGCTCCTGCCTCCCCTCCAGACAGACGTTCAATCGCATGCGGCCCATCTGCTACCCCTTTGGGTCTGTCACTCCAGATTAGAGACGGGGGCAGCTGTGGTAACATGGAGGGAGGGCATTCTGTGGGCAGATTTTAGAATCTGCCCCTCCCCCCACCCTCTGCAGCTCTGTGGAAGAGGGTCTTCCTATAGCAGCTCAGAGCTTTTTGGTCCTATTAACTAACTGCCCTAACATGTTAATGCTAAAAATTGGGACCCATATACCTTACATCCAACCATAACAGACTATAAAATAAAATATGTTTATGCTCCTACCTTGAGAAATATTCCTTATAATGACCAAGAAGGCCACGTTCAAAAGTAGAGTCTTGGACTCCTTAGAATTCTCTGCAGGAACATGGCAGCGTGGGGTTCATTAGTCCTCAGCCCTCAGCCCTCAGCCCATCCTCTCCGATTCTCTTCCCGGCCCCCTGTCTGTCCTGTGCGTGCAAGTGGCCTAGGACCCAGGGATGCAAACACCTCAGCCCACGTGCCCAATCCTGTCCACACTTCCTGCCTACAGCCACCGCTTAGTCACCCCTCTAAGAGTGCACATGAGGCACGTTGTATCCTCAGAAGGATGGACCTTGGGAAGTGTTGGACCACCTAGGCAGAGATTTCTAGGGCTTTTAGATACCTGTAGCATGATTATGAAATCAGGCTGTGGGGTACAAGTTCTGAGTAGACGGGTGACCCTCTTGCCTGGGTCTGTGAGTGGCCCTCTACGGCACCTACCAAGTGCACTGCCCGGTACGTTTTAGAAGCTTAAGGAATAGTCATTAAGGAGATGCGGGTCTGAACTATTTACTAAAATATCAGATTGGCTTGGTTCTTCCCATGTCTCCTCCCTTTTGGCAGGACCCAGAATTTGTCATGAATTACCCTGGGCATTTTACAGAGGCAGCCTCTAGGGAGAGACGACTTCCTTCTTTTGTGAAATTCTTCGGTCCTTTCCAGAGGTGAAGCCAGGAGTTTGGGAGTTGGGAACAGGGGCAAGAAGGACTACTCTAGAAAGATGAGAGAAGGTACCTAAGGGCCAATGTGGAGGTAGGGGAGATCGCAGTGTGTCAAGACCTTAAAAGGTCCTTATGGTCAAGAACTTAGGCATCGGGGTTGGAGCCAGAGCCTACGTAAGGCCTCAAGACTTTTACACAATTCTGGGGGAAGGGAAGGAGTGAGGGTGGTGTATCTGTTTCCTGTTGCCCTGTAACAAACCACCCGATCACTTATGTAGCCCATAAATCTGCAGTTTGGGGGTGGGTTCATGGGGGGAAGGCTTGTCTCTGCTCTGTGCAAGATCAGCTGCTTCCATTGGAAGTAGAGGATGCTTTACAAGATGGCGTGCTCCATGGCTCGCCAGTTGGCGCTAGGTGCTAGCTGGAAACAGAATGTGGGCCAAGGCCTCAGTTCCCCTCCACGAGGCCTCTCCGCAGGCTGCTGGGGCTTCCTCACTGCAAGACAGCTGGGTTTCAAGAGCAAATGGAGAACAAGGTGGAAGCGCAAGGCATTTTATGACCTAGCCCCAGAAGTCACGTACCATCACTCCCTTTGTGTTCTATGAGTGCAGGAAATCACAAAGTCACCCGGTTCAAGGGGACGGGAGACAGAGTCGCCCCCTGTGTTGCAGAGCTGAAGATACTGTGGCAGCCATCTTTGGAAAATACAGTCCTCACCACGTGGGTCCTCAGAATAAGTGGAGAATTTCCTCTGGTGGAAACTGAGCGTCTGACTTAGCTGATTTAAAAGAAAAAGGTATATGATGTTTCTTGTACAGCCCCTTGGGCACAGATGAATAAGAAGTCTGGCGGACAATGAGCCTGGTGTACTTGGGTTATTTAGGATTTTCCTTCTTCAGAGAGTCCTCAGAATAGAGTTAAGACCTCTCTCCTCACTACCTATACTGTTTCTTTAAAGCTGTACATTCAAATACTACTTATTTGGGGCGCCTGGGTGGCTTAGTCGGTTAAGCGTCCGACTTTCGCTTAGGTCATGATCTCGCAGTTCGTGGGTTCGAGCCCCGCGTCGGGCTCTGTGCTGACTGAGCTGGCGCTCAGAGCCTGGAGCCTGTTTCAGTCTGTGACTCCCTCTCTCTCTGACCCTCCCCTGTTCACGCTGTTTCTCTCTCTCTCTCCTAGAAATAAATAAAACATTTAAAAAAAGTACTACTCATTTGATCTTCTTAATAATGACCTCTATTTGCTACATAGTATCTATTGTGATGCTCCTTTCCAAGATGTGCAAATGGAGCCCCTGAGAAGGTAAGTAATTTGCCTAAGGTCATACAACTAGTCAGTGATGGAAGCTGACCCCAGTTTTCTGTTGCAGAAACTGAGGCGCAGGTAATCCAGATTCTGAGCACCCAACACTGCACTGCGCAGTCTTATCCCTAAAGGCCCACAATGAGTTGACAAGCTCACCCCCAGGGCCTTGCAGGGACCCCGCTTCCTGCCTGAGAAGCAGAAAGGATGCTGGTCCCTGGAATGCTGGGCTGTAGCCTTGATTGACTCAAGTCTTGTTCCAGTCTCTGCCCTCAGAGAGTGGCTAATAGTCATGTCTCAAACCTGCATTTCAATGGGCTCAGCAGGGCCCCTGACCTTTATTATCTTCTCCAAGGGACTCAGTGAGGATCTGAACTCTAAGCCCTTGATAGCTGGTTTGTAGCTGGGGGAGGACCCAGCTTCCCACCTGAGAGACTGACCCATAGATTCCTTCCTGTCTCAGTTGTTTGACCAAAATCATTTAGACCCCTGCTGCAGCTCAGAGTCTGAGGGTTAATGCCACCCAGCCCTGATGGCTCTTAGCCCAGTGGGGAAGCTGACATATAAACCAGTGTGGTGA